GGCCCCCGTCCCGCCCCCAATGCCACACACGCCAAGGCTCGGGGAGGAGGGGTACGTCCCGCCCCCCGGCAGCGTCGTCGATCCGCCGATGGGCCGAGGCCTAGGCCCGTTTGACGAAATCTCGGCACCAACCAGCCCGGTCGAGGACCTGTACGGGGAGATCGACTTGTTTCTGAAAGACGACGGCGATGTGTCCGCATTGGAAAGTGGAGTCGAAAATGTGATCAGTTCCGGAAGTGTTGAAGTAGAAAGCGAAGTCGCTTCTGAAAAACAGGAGGGCGAGGAGTGACGCGCACAGCTGTAAAATAGTGTCCCATTTCCATCACTGAAGTGTTCACTTAACTTACTTAATCACTCCCTTGCCACTTTTTAGCAAAGTGTTCTAACCAACTCCTATGTTCGAGGAAAATTCTCACGGACATTGACTTTTCGAAAAATGTAGATTTTCGAACTAAATCTTGTATTCAAGGAGAATCCTATGTAAACTCTTGTACGCCAAAAAAGAGGACCTGTGTTTATTTTGCTCTATGTGTACTGTTCCAATTTGGTAATTAAAAACGAATATTTTTCAACTTTGCTCCTCATACTATTACCCGATTCTTTAATAAAAAAAAACTCAGAACACTGAGGCGGAGATTCAGAGATGTTCAGATCCCATGGGACGTCACTAAAATGACATCAAATTTTAGAAAAGGCTTCTTTCCTTTTGATAACATTATTGCGGGGGGCGCAAACAGTCTTACATTCTTATGGAGGGTAGCTCGATCAAATTAAATTGGTCCATGCTCAAGTCAACCACCACGGGGCAAGTAACGAGGAGCAGCTGGAGATGGGGGCAGTTACGAGGCTGGATCAGCAACAACATAACAGCAACCTCGCAATAGAACCGGCCAAAAGTTAAGTAGCAGCACACACTCACTGAATCTTGTTATGACACAAAGAAATTCACTAGGATTTACTGCATTCAAGTGGGGAACTAAATCAATTGAAGATCAAATGGGCTAAACAGAGAAAAAAAGAATTTGCGAGAGGTTAAAGGGGAGAAACTTATCTTTTCAGAGGTTACTACGGGAATAGAAATTTGTTTCAGCTTTTACTTCCTTGACGTTGCGAGCATCGCAACTACCCCTAGGAGTTATCAGACCTGACACCTGTCGTCTCCCTCAACCAGACTTCGAGAATGGAGACTCAGCTGGTCCTGGAAGGAGTTTTACGAGACCGTCCAAGATGAAGACCACGACCCAGCATGAAGATCACTTTAGTCACTTGGGGGCACTCAGTAGGGCATGGTCTACGACAAATGCAGTATTGCTGAACGAGAGTAAGGCAGGTCAGGTGACTTAAAGCCCAACTACAGCAAGCCCCTGCCTGTCCATAACCTTAAGCCTTGGTTCCGACGTTGGTTTTAGTAGGTTTTCCCAGCGTCCTTGACGCTCCAAAGGAGGGGAACCACTCTTCTTCCGACCACCCTCCACTTCCGCACCCCTGTGCGAAAGGCTCTCGGAGAGAGGGGAGGGTAGTGTTATGAAGAGAGCTTCGCTTGCAATTGTTGCAAACACTGAGTACTGCAGCAGACGACGCAGTCGTCCACACGATATCTCGAGAAAGAATTAAGAGAGCGATCTGGGAATTTCAGGGTCGTTTTGTATCATAAAAAGACACATCGAGTTCGAAGATGAGCATTGTAGCTCAAAAATTGACTTTAAAAATAAGCAAAAACCACAGGTTGCAAAATATTATTTTTTGCAAATATTTTTTTGTGGGCTCCTAGAGGGCTCGTAGAGGGTTACTCGTAAATGTTGAACCCCGTGGCCGTGGGCGAAAATGTCGTCCGTTTTGCTCTATCTTGTACAGTTTCGGCGCTATGAGGCATTTCTTGGCGAAAACAACGTGAGAAAGACAAAATGGTCTAATAAATCATAAAAAGGGCATCATGTCACAGAATTGAAAAGGGAGTAATACTTAAACCACATATTACGGCTCGAACCGCACGCTATTTTGGGCTTAAGGTCCCAAGATTATCTAGTATCACTAATACGTTGATTTTACATAACAATCTGTCAAAATTCGAACTTTTGATGAAAACCGTTACCGAACAGCAGTAGTTTCATGTCCCTAATTTTAGAGTGAGACCTCGACAAATGGTTCGAGTATGTCAAATTTTGGGCCCGGAAGGCCCTGTTCCCCTATACCCTCTCCTTAACTCGTCTCGGGTGTCAGTGCCGCAGAGCTAGCCATATGTGTGCCAGGCGCGTCGCAGCGTAACAGTGTTTCGTGAGATATCGCGAAGCCTGTTACGCGAGACGTGGTCTGCCGTACATATAGCTAGTTTATTACCTGGTTTTTAGTTGTTTTCCTACTTTAAAAAGATTGTAAAGCACGGTTTAATGCTCTATACAATTTTAATCTACGTTTGAACGTTAATTTTAAGTTATTTTAATAAATGACTCCCTCTGCTCCACATCCACTTGCTGGAACCCCATGCCTGTGAGAATTACTGCGACGAGTGCTTAGCTGGCTGCCATCAACATATAAGTTATGGTGCGGACAGGCGGCGACATATTGTTATGGAGTGCGATTGCGTCGCAAAAGTAGTGATTCCACACTCTGAAGTGGGATCGTAGTCTAGAACTGAAGTCTCTACCCAGGCACCGTCCCCTACTACAAGGTACAGCCAGCCTCTGTGAGCGCTAGACCTCCGCGTACACGACGCACAGTGAGCTGAGAACGGCAAAAAACGATCAAAATTCGATAGTAAGGAAAGTCATCCGAGCATTGACCTCAAACTTGGGGCGGTGGGGTTTTGAGGTGTGCTGGTTTCATTTTTGAACTCAAAATGTTTGTCACAAGGGCGGAACTTGGTCTAAAAGGGGGGGTAAATTTAATTTTTGGAAAAATTTTGTTCAAACTTGGTGTACTGGGGTTTTTGGGCATGCTGATTTCATTTTTGTACTCGAAAATTTTTTAACGGTGTCGCAACCTAGTGCTTTTGAAATCGGCAAGGTTCAGTAGGGCGTTTTCATAATAACACGGACCCTAATTTTTGACCTGGTTCTGCCTCTTCTACACAAATTTCAAGTTCAGAAATGGAATTAGCACGAGGGGTCGTCAACTTCGATATTCCTCCGTACACGGACTGATATTACCTCAAATATTACACCAATATTAGCCATATTACTTGTAATATCACCTCGATATTACACATTTTTCTAGTATTATGACGTCACAGCTTGAAAATTGGCTCAATATTACCAATATTATTTGTAATATTCAATATTCCTCCGTACACGGCCAAGGAGAGTTGACGACCCCTCGAATTAGCATGCTTCAATACCCCTTTGAACTGATTCTGATGTAAATCCTTCTTCTAGTTTTCGTTCAACGGCCATATCCGTACAATAGTTACACGAAAACCTCTAAAAATGAAGTAAAATGGCGTTGAATTTACGAGAAAACGAGCACGTACGAGCACGAACGGCAAGTTGCCCCGTGAACATGAACCCCAGGGCTGTACGATGTCGCTGAAACCGCCGCGGCCAAAAGTGGCCAAAAAAAGATCCAGCCCTTCAAAGTTGCTCAGTCACACGATTTTAGCAAGTCCCTTGGTGTCCTGCAGGACTCTAGTATGTCGTCGCAGCAACGCCACGGCAGCGGCGGCGTGTTCCTTGAGTTGTGCCATTTCCATTGATACCCCGGACATGCAGGTAAACCGAAAGAAACGGACGCAAAGTGCGGAAAACAAAAGTAGTGCGAAATCACATTGGAACCTGAACAAAACTGACACTTTTTGAACAAGAAAATCACCCAGAGAGCAGCTGGATCTGGGGGTCAACTGGGTAATTTTATGTACAGTAGACATTCTTAAATAAATCCCGCCTCGGCGTGACAACCCTTCCCCCTTCGCCGAGAAGGGTCGCTCCCGTTCCCCCCGAGCCACACCCCCGAGTTGCCGTGCAATATTATGAAATTCAAAAGAATCAACGCAAATCATTTGTCAAGAGTTTTATTTGTAGCGTTTTTAGAACTCTGAATTAGCATCAACAGAAATACTGCACACAAATTGAAATAAAACACATATTTCCAGTCATTTTTTTTCCACAATTTGTTAAGTTCATTATAGTAATGTCTTAACAAAAATAAAGTAATATCATCCAAATCCGGAAATCTATTTATAACTATCACATATAACAGAACTACAACAAACTATATAAATGAAAAATAGAAACAATACTAATGAAAATTTCAACAGGACACTTGGGTTCTAGACTTTAGCCCACAGCATGGGGCGCGTGGTTGGGGCTTCCTCCATGCTCAATGAGACAACCCTT